CATAAGCGCACCAGCGTGCCTACCTTCCCTGTCCTACTATCCCCATTTATTTGTCCTCATTTCTTACGTATATAAGTATATACGCTTATATGTTTATATGTTATATAGTCATACTTGTTTTCTCATACCTGCTTGACAAACCAAAATAATAAATAAATAAAGAGTGTAGAATATTCCACTGAGAAAACCTTTCTCAGAGCGCCGTCAGACCGGTGTTACCAGTGTGTGCCTCATTGCAGGTACCTATATTCTGCAACTGCACGTCTACTTGGGATAAGGATGATTGCACTAATGAGTAAGGCTGGATTGCGCAACAGAAGAATGTAGAAAATAGCCTATTACACTAACACACACACACACACACAAACACACACCGTACTTGGAGGCGCGTAGCGGAGAAACAAGCCCTGCAAAATCGCTCGCTGCCCAAACGGCGACCAAGAGCAGAGTCGGTGAAAGGCTTCGAAATGACACTAGTGGGAGCCCTTTTTTTGAGAAGCAAAACCCGGTTAGCGCTAAGATGGACGTAGCTCTCAGCCAAAGGGAGTAAAGGAAGGAAGGCGGTGCTGCTCGTTGCTTCTTTGCGACTGGTTCTGCCTTGCTTGGCCGCCGCACGTGGCTGAGTTTCCGGCCGCGCTGTCATTCAGGAGCCTCCTCCGCCCCCCCCTTTTCCTCCTCCCCGCCCGCAAACAGCCAGTGGAGCCTCGGCTGCCTCCGAGGTGAGTCGCGTACGGCCGCCTTCTCTGGTTGGTGTCTGGAGTGGAGGGAAAGAGGCGGGGACGCTTCCTTCGCGCCTCTCGGGCATGAGCAGCACCGGCTTCTGCGCGCCCAGGGACCTGAGCCGGAGGTTGGGGAAGAAGATCTCCTTCCACGGGGGAGCCGAGACCTTCCGAAGAGGGCCCCGGCGCGGGAGATGTGCTGCTTTCCGGCGGCTCCTCGAGCAGCATGTTCCCCGATACTGGCGCTAACACCTCCTCTGGCAGGGGCAGCGGGCAGGTGGAATCCGCGGGGGCCGCCGTCGGCTCCGGCGCCTCAGGAGCCCCAAGTCCCGGGCGCGGGGAGTCCTGCAAGAAGAGTAGCAGCGTCCCAGCCGCGGCCGAAGGCGACGGCGAAGAGGACGAAGAAGAGGCGGCGGAGGCGACGGCTCCCATCCTGTGGACCCGCTCCATTCTGGCCACTGGACTGGGGATGGTGGGGTTGGCCGTCTTCCTCTTCCATCTGGGGCAGCAGAAGCCGCCGCCGGAGAAGGAGGAGGAGGTCGGCGGAGAGCTGTACGTGGCCTGGCTCCTGCTCCGGCTTGTCTTGTACCTGGTTTGTGCTGCCGGCGCCTTCTTACTCGGTTTCTTGCTGGCTCTCGGGAGCCAAAATCGCGGCCGCCTCCGACCCCTGCCGGCTTTCCTCGCCGCTTGGAAGCGCCGTTACCCGGGAAGAGCGAGCGCGGCGCCGTTCTGGCCAGCTGCCGGGGTAAGCGATCGCCTTCCTCTGAACCCAGTTGCTTTTTCACCTCCTCAGCCCCAACATTTTTCAACTCGAGGCTGGTGGGGATTCCCTTTGGAAACGGGGCTGAGTTTAAGCCGGGAAGCGTCTTGGCTCAGCCTTCATTTTGGACCCAAGTGCCTTGAATCTGAAACAAGGGAGCTCTCAGAATTGAGACCTCCCATCTGCTACCTGTCCTCTGCGTTGGGGATTAAAGGCCTTAGGGTATTCTGGTCTTTCAGTAAATCACTATTGCCTGAAACAGATTAGAGCTCTATTGTACCTGTTACAGAGGACAGAGGGGATGTGAGTGGAAAAGTCACTTTCTTCAATGTCACTGTGGAAAAGTTGAGCTTTTTGATACCTGGGTGTGATTGGTCAGTGCATTTTTGGAGCACAGTTCTTCAAAGTACAAAGACCTTAGGCACCATGATTGGGATGGCAATTTGGCTTTTGAATGAAGCAGTTGCTAAATGAAACTGCATCTTCTTATCTTGTTTTGCTTTACAAAAAATCACTTTATGATCACATCGATAATCAGTGTCATAACTGAATGGCTACTAAAGGAGGCAGTTTGCTAAAGGAGGACTACTTGCAGGATTAATGCTGGTCACTTTGCTAGCATGACCAGCATGTTTGACTACTGCTGGGTCATAAATAAAAACACAAACACTGCAGACCCATTGAAAAACCTTGAGTTTGCAATTCCAGAATTGCACACCTTTAACTTAAAGAGAGATTCTGTGCCTCTACATAACAACTAACTTACAAACTTGCAGAACTCTTTGCGTTGTTTTAGCTCTTCAGACTGGAACAAAAGTGTGAAAAGAAGCAATGGAGTAATAACTTTTAGCACATTGACAAATCACATATGGACATTCTTTTTCATAACAATTCCTTCAAGGTGCTTCAAAGTGGTGCTTAGGCTGCTTTGGGCATCCTGGATTTTTTTGGGCAATAAAGTTCTGTTTATGTTTTCAAAATCGTTTGGGCAATAAAGTTCTGTTTAGCCTTTAATTTCTATAGCATTCTTGTAGAAATACATGTGTACCCTAGAATATTGAAACCATTCAGAACAATCGAAAAGATTTTTTAAAAACCCTTCAAAGTGCTGCAGGAGAAACAAAACAATCCACACTAGCTCAAGGCCTAAGGGAAATAATAGGTTGTTAAGAGTTTATTTGAATGAGGAACAGGTAGAGCACTAATATACATGTTTGTAGGTATGCTATGCCAGAGGTCAGGACTGCCATAAAGATTCAGGTTTTCTTGATTAAAGGTGCTTTTATTTAATTATTTTAAGCTAAAATAATCTAAGTGGATGAATTACCATAAAATCGTAGAGAGTTTGTCATAGGTTCAGCCCCTGCTCTGTGCAGGAACAAGGGCATCCCAAATTCTAAATCTATTGAATCGACAGTTCTATATTGAAATAAATGTAATTTCTTTTACTTAGAAATAGGTTTAGAATTTGGATCCTTCTAGTTCTAAAATGCAAGTAAAATTAATGTGAGAATGTTTATGTAGTAAAGTCAACTTATTTTGGATAAATAGGATACTCTGGTATAAGTGGATTGCTTGAAAATGTTTATCGCTATTATTAAAAAAAAGAGCCACTGCAGTAAGGCAATTAGAGTGTTGGATTTTGATCAAGCAAACCTAGGTTCAGTTCTCTTTTAGCCATTGAGTTAGCTGGCTGATCCTGGCTAGTTTTCTCACAATATTTCCTGCAGCTATCAAGGTAGTTGTTGTGGGGATAATACGAAGAGAAAGATTTGAAGACAGCGAAGCCCACATTTTAGACAGAGGACCACTGTTTTGAAAGAAGGGTCAGAGGTCATCTATGTCAAAATTGAGCATCCCTCTCTCAGTATTGGGGGGGGGGGAATACGACCTCATCTATCTCCAATCTACGATATGGTCCTTATAACAGTTCCAAGAAGGCTCCACACCTATTTGCACTACTCAGGTGACCCTGAGGACACAGGTAAATCTCCAAGTAGCCTCAATGACTCACAAAAAATGCAAACTACCAGCTCTCTGCCAGGAATATAAATCATTCTATTCCCCACCATTCAGTCAGAGCTGAAGAAGTTTCTTGGATGAGAAATGAAACATCTTCAAAGAAAAACAAAGTTCAGTTGCCTCTTGAAAAAACACCTTTGAGACATGGGACAACCATGACCTGGATGTTTGAGAATCTCCATAGACAGAGTCCATGTATACTATTTTGAGATTAAATTTTCCTCAAATTGAAGTTGATTGTTGGTGATTTAATGGACAACTTTGGAAATGGTATTACATTGCCTTTTTCTAGAATATTTTTTGAGTTCAAATGCTGTCTAAAAGTTTCCAATCCAAGTAGTAGCCAGATACAAATCTATTTAGTTAAACCCTCATCAGTTAAATGCTGCTATTTCCTTTATGCCCCTTGATATGTAATCTTTTTAATGGTTTTGATTACATGTAGTACTCCAGAATGAACATGGTTTTGTTGAGTGCCAAAATTTTGGACATTTTATATAGAAATATCTGAAGAAAAACTGCCAATATAAAACTCAAAGTTAAACCTTGTTAATGAATCTGATTCTATATCAATTAGAATCTGAATTTGAAAACAACTTTTGTGTGATGATACACACATTTATTATCTTACATATTTCTAACTACATTAATTATGTACATTTATTAGGTGAGTATCAATGTTATGAGTGCTACTGTGTTAATTAGTGAAGGATGTGCTGTATGTATGTGTGCCATGTATATATTATGGTCTAGAATATAATTGGCTACAGATAATTGTCAATATGACTTCCTTGCATATTGGTTTGTTGTTTTTGCACCTTTAATGGATACTTTTTATGATATCAGTTGTGCTGACCATAATTAGCAGATTCAATAAGTGATCATATCTATTGAATGTAATCTCTTCATTTGGATGTGATGTCTTCTAAAAGTGTGTGCTGTTATTCTCAAAATTTAAAAATACATTGCTACTAATACAGCCTTATTGGAAATCAACATTTTGAATATCCTTGTAATGTATTTCAGCTGCTCCTTGTGGAACAATATTGCATATATGTTCTTTTATTGATTTGTATATTACCTAACTAATTGGGCCTTAGTAATGCAAACACTTCCTAAGTGAGACTTAGTTTGCTGATAACTGCTATCTTTGCATAATGACCCAACATTCTTTTTACCTTCTAGATTTCAAGACTGAAGGTTTCTTATTAGTCTGTAGAAATCATTCAGATAGGATTGATGGGCAATTGATTGCCTATAGATTTCTAACCTTGGACTGACAGCTTCAACTCTGATAATGCAGCTCAGCTAAAAAAGTTCATAGTTTTGAATAGTTCTCACTTTTTGAGTGCTCCTTTATAATTGTTGCTTTGGCTGCCTTCTTTACCAATAAGTTTAATATTCTTTTAAATACACCTTTTTCATAAAACATCCTGCCTATTTTTACATAATTGTTCATCTTTATCATGTGTGTCCTTAGGGCAGCATTTAAAATGTTCATGAGTGCTTTGAAATTAAACTAGGTAATCTTAAATCATTTATCTGCAGACCAGGCCTGAGCAATGTGTAGAGAGGAAAGGACCACACTGATAAATTAAAAAAAAATCTTCCTAGTAAGCTGCAAAAGAATGTTGGGCTCACTTAATCAGCTGTTCTGTGGCCAGTGAAGCAGTGGTAGTGTTGGAGAAAGTAGTGGTGAGGCTCAGGGGCACTCAGCAGCACATCTTTTGGGATGGTGGCCCCATAGATATTTAGTTATATAGTAATAAGTAAGACTAGAGAGAACATTTCTGTATCCTATGTCTTTCAGTTATAAAATACTGATATTTGCCTTTTTAGGTTATGTATAGGAATAAACTTTATTTTCAAATATTGTTTTAAAAGTACTGTATATTATCATATTTTATTTACAATTTATATTTCATATAGACACTTTAGGAAGGAGAGATATATGAAAAGTAAAATATAAATAGCTATTTGTTTAATGTTCACATAATCTACTGAATGAGTTTTTAAAAAGCAGAATTCAGATATGGTAAAGTTGCCTAAACATTAGCTTGGAAGGAAATTCATTTATAAGGAAATTCCTTATCCTTATTTAATTAAGATAGGTTGTACTTAATAACTTGTACATTATTTCAGACTTAGCACAGTTTGTGTTGGATGTGTTTGTCAATTCTTGTTCTATGCATTATTCAACCTTGTCTATTATGGGTGCATTTTTTTCTGGCTTTTAGAACCTCATATTTGGAAATGGACAAGAACCAGTCCAGTCAAGGAGAGTGGTAATTTCTCATAACATGGACAAAGCTCTGAAAGAAGGTAGGAGTCCCCTAAGATCCTTTTGAAATATCTCATACTCTTATCGTTCTCCTTGCTCAAATTTGAACCATTCAGCATGAATTACATGTATTTTCAACATCTTTTATTTCCATCATAAATAGTTAAAACCTCTATTTACCAGATTTCAATATCATAGACTCAAGTCTGAATTTCTATTCCAAATTTGCATAATAACATTATGTAAATGATGCAATTGATGTCATTTGCATATTGAAATAAAGAAACAACTGAGAGTTTGCCACCTGATTTCTGTCCAAATCTGCTGGTAAATAAGACTTGCCATAAATTGAATATAAAAAGGTTCCCCAAGTATACTTAAAATGTATATTATAACTCTACCAATTGGAAAATATATACATTTTTCTATAGGTTAGGGGGGAAAAGTATCCAGGGTGGAGTATGTATTGCACTTGCTTTCTTTGCCAATGTCAAAATGATCCTTAGAGGGATCCCAGCTCCTTCAATAAGGAGGAAAGTGATGACTTTGGCAGCTCTGGAATAGGAGAGTCCATGTTTGACATTTGTAAACAATAGAATATACTGCCTTTTCAGTATTCTTTTTTTATCAGTGCCTTCAACCTTAACCACTACTCTGAAGTCCCTGTAGTGTTCTTGGCAAAATTTCAGAAGCAGTTTGTTACTTCCTCCTTCCTAGGCTTGAGAGGGAGTGACTGTCCCAAGGTCACCCATCTGGCTATCTGCGTGAGACAAAACTAGAACTCAGTCTCCCAGTTTCTATCCTGATGCCTTTAATCTCTACACCAAAGTTCTCCTTAGCATTCTTTAGACTTTAGGTTTTTATGCTATAGCTATTCACAAGATTAACTGCTGCTTCCTAGAGAGTGAATATACAATCCTGTCTCAAGCCTCAATGTCACAATGCCAGCAAAAACCCATAGCATTTTTATTTGTACCAGTGTCTTTTTTCTTCTGGCCAGTAAATACCCTACCTCTAGGGTGATGGCATAAGGCACCAGGAAGATGGGAGAGGCAACATTACGTATAAGAATTTTTTAGCAGTGCAGGTCCGTAGGGCCAGGGTGTATTTACTCAGAGGGCTTTTGGGAGAAGATGTTTAAACTTCTAGTCTTTCATCCAGTGGCCTCAGATTGTTATCATAATTACAAAATAGGTAAATCCTACCAGCTCTGTTGATTAAATGATCAAGAACTCTAGTGAATTGTGAATTAACTGTCTGACTAAATATCTTTTAAAAAGATATTTTTATTAGAATAATGAAAAACAACAGGTTTGCCATAGATAGTAACAGCTGAATAGCACAAGGATAAAATACAAAAGATTATTAAAATAATTTTGAGCAATTTTTCTATTTGTTTCTCTAGTTGCTGAACAGAATCTCTATATTTATACTTTGAATATTATTGCTAGTACCCATTTAAGTCTTTTCATCTAATATTTTTGATTGGTCTCATTAGTTTTTCCAAGAAATCATACTCCAAATATCTAAATTTGGCCTGTATAATATGTAGTATATATGGGAGTCAATCTTGCTCAAATTTGGTTAGACTTACTATAGATACACTGTATGCTTTCAGTCTTGTCATTGCTGCATATTCTCCATTGTTGGTCTCCCAATCTTACATTGTCAACGGAATTCCTCTTTTGTGCCAAATTTGGGAGGTACTAGACAATTTTCTGGTTGTCTGATACCATTCAGGTATCTGGCAGCTAAAGACACGAAGGGCAGCTGTTATCAGAATAATTCTTAGTGTGTTTTCTTATTGTCTATTGTGTTGGCTTCTATTATAACATTCAAATAGACAATCTGATAATTCTATACTGCTGAAGTCAGTTCTTATGACCAAATGAGAGTGGAGTATGCCAAGACCCATTTTGGTCTCGCATTTCTTTTTTCACAATAGCTAATTGGATGCTTCTGGAATGATTAGAACAGGGAGGAATTAGAAATATATCCTCTTTCCCATGATTGTCCCCCGGCAATGATTTGGAAACATGCAGCCCCAGGTAGAGATTACATTGAATTTTAAGACTAACAATCTTGATAGATTGTCATCTTTGAATTTATCCAATCCTTTCTTAAATCTGTCCAAGTTAGTGGCCATCTTCTCATGATGTAGTAATCTATTTCCAGGGTTGATTGGAAAACACCCCTCCCCCACATTTTTTTTGTAATATTCTTACGGTCAACTTCATTGAATGATCCCTGGTCCTAAGATTGTGAAAGATAATATAAATACAGAAAAGAATAAGTCAGGTTATATGACCAATAGATTTCAGTGTCCTTATACAGATGTGAGGAATCAAGATGAAGTTTTAATTTAGGAAGGCAAATTTGAGGTAACAGGCATTACCTATCCTTGGTGGGATAAAACTCATTTGTAAAATGAAAGATTTAGAAGAAGCAATTTATTCAGGAAAAAAACAGGATGAGCAACAACATACAATAGATTATTATTTCTCTATGAGAATAATCATTGCTGGTGTGTTACTATTTTAAAATGTTAAATATATTGATTTAGCATTGATCATTTAGAAGTGTTCATGATTTTTTGGTATTGATCATTTTGAACCTTCATGAATATTGAACTCCTAGAGAGGAAAAAACCAGTTGTAGGATTTTGCTATTGGTGCAGCCACTCCTTATAAAAGCAATTTTGAGGCATTGGGTTATGGTGGGAGGTAAGAACAATCAAGAGTAGGAGACCCTGGTTCCTAGGGAATGATAGAAATAAGGAATTGCAATAGAAAAGCATCATTATATATTATTTGAATCAACTGAATAAACAGTTGTAAATTTGACAACCAAAATCAATTCATAGTGCAAAAGGTGAGGTAAAGATAGAATGCTACATGATGTCAACTACTGTAGGAACAAATATTGTCCGAGCCTTATGTTATATAGACAAACTTGTAGACATTGGTTGCCAAATTGAGAAAGACGCTTGTCAGGCTGAAAATAGGTGCTGATTATTTTTGATAATTTTTCCCCAGAACAAAACTTGGTTTTGCTTATGATGCTGCATTTTCGACAAATCTACTTTGTTCCAACAGTTATGGTTTTTTGTTTTTTGTTTTTAAACATGGGATAAGTTCCTTGGACTTTCTGTTCAGATATTGGGCTGAACTAATCCACTTATGGGCTTTCTGTGTTGATCTCCAGTAATTTTTTTCTTGGATTGGATTTCTTGTGTTGTAAGATTGCCATTCTTATTCTTATTAGGAAGAAAATGGAAAACGTTAAAAAAGAAAATTGACAGACTTTTCAGATATAGTTCTGCCTCACTTGGCAGAGGCAGGGAGGTGTTAAATATGGATTCATCCTGATATTTTCTTTCTTTCTTGCAGTGTTTGACTACATCTATCGAGATTATATTTTGTCTTGGTATGGAAACCTCAGCAGAGATGAAGGACAGCTGTATCATCTTCTGTCTGAAGACTTCTGGGAAGCTGCCAAGCAGCTGCGGCACAGACTCCGTCACATTGATGTAGTTAAAGTCATTTGCAATGATGTAGTGAAAGCTGTGCTCAACCATTTCTGCGATCTTAAAGCAGCCAATGCCAGGTAATAACACATCCCACGAACACGTATTTTCTATATTGTGCTTTTAGTAATGGTTATTTTTTTTCTGCTTATGTCTGAAGTGTGTTGACAAAAGCAACTATGAGATAGCACTCCTGGAAGCATTGGTGGTGACCTGTCTTCTTGGCAAGGGTGCTGCAAGCCATGTCCAAACTATTGGGCATTTTGTCTCAGTATTTTGCTGCTCAGTTACGATTGGTCTGCTCAAGCACAGCAGCATCCCAGAGAGATGCATTCTCCTTACAGTCTGTTGTAAACATCTGCTCGGGATGATGTCCTGAGATGATCTTGTATAAAATATCTAATTTTCTATTACCAGGATTCAAATCCTGGATTTCACTAAGGCCAGAGATGTGATTGGGCTTGTTTATAGAATTTTATAAATTTCAAGAAGATATATCTGTATTTTATTATTTTCTTCTGTTTGATAACTTAGTTTTTGTTCTTTATTAAAGCTGGTCAAATTAGCTTAACCAATATTAACTTTTGCAATTAATGCTTATATTTTTAACCAATAATCATGTTAATTAGGGTTATAAGATTTGAAATCCAGTACACTTATATGACACTGCTCTACATGGGGCAGTCCTTGAAGAGTGTTCGGAGACTCCAGCTGGTCCAGAATGCAGCCGCGCAAGCGATCGTGGGTGCACCTCGGTACACCCACGTTACACCTATCCTCCGCGAGCTGCACTGGCTACCTATTGGTCTCCAGATACGCTTCAAGGTGCTAGTCATTACTTATAAAGCCCTACATGGTATTGGAGTTGGGTACTTGAGAGACCGCCTTCTGCCGATTACCTCCCACAGACGCATTAGATCCCACAGATTAGGCCTCCTGCCGGCCAATGTCGGCTGGCAACCACTCGGAAGAGGGCCTTCTCTGTGGCTGCTCCGGCTCTTTGGAACAAGCTCCCCATGGAGATTCGGCCCCTCGCCACCCTTCGGGCCTTCCGGACGGCCGTGAAGACCTGGCTGTCCCAGCAAGCCTAGGGCTGAGTTCCCCCCACTACTCGAATTTGCTGTGTCTGTTGTGCTTTTAAATTGTTTGTATTGTCCTATTGTTTTGTCTTACTTTTTGTAATTTCCCCTCCCTTGGCTTTGTTCAGCCGCCCTGAGTCCTCTCGGGGAATAGGGCGGCCTACAAATTGAATAAATTCCAATTCCACCGGTGAGGAAGTTTGCATCAAGGTAGTTTCAGACATGATTGCCTGACTCATTCCTTCTATTCTTGCAAAGAGATTAAAATCTTCAGATATTGTTCCCAGGGTCATTTATATATGAACTCCTGCAATGACATCTGTTGTAATTTTAGATGTCCTTTTTGATTTTGCTGAGCATTGCAGCAATGGTTGGTTGGAGAAGTTGAAAGGATTACTACTACAAAAAGGTGCCTGATATTGGCTCTTTCCTATCCAGGAACCCAGTCTACTTTTTCATTAAAGCAGTTTATGGAAAACTGAGTTTCCATCTTATGTGACAAGAGACTGTATAGTAAAATATGCAATTATCCCAACCTGAGATGTATTTGTATGGATGTAGTAAGATGATTACATTCTACTAACTGACAGTTCTTATTTTATCTATGTATTAAATTATACATTTAATATAATCAAGTTCCTTCTGATGGCATCCTTGAACTTTCTTCCTTGTAGTTTTAAGCCATTGATTCTGGTTATACCCTTTGGGGCCATACAGTATAAGGGTACTTCATTTTGGATATAATACTTACAGATATTTTCCTATTATGAGTCTCCTGCATAATTTTTTTGTAGGCTAAACATACACAGCTTTTTAAACTATTCCTCAAAATGTTTAGTTTCCCTTCATCATAGTAGCTATCCTCTGAATTTGCTGCGATTTATCACTATCCTTTTGGAATTGTGGAACCCAAATTGGACATAGTCCTGCAGATGGAGTCTGATCAGGGCAGAATGGTGTGGAGCAATTTCTTCCTGAGTTCTGTGGTCGTTAAAAAAGAAAGTTGGCAGCCTTTTCAGATGGTCCTGTGGACCCCATCCATGCTCCTATCACTGTACCTCAACATTTGCATTTTTTACCAGAATGACTGGCTGAGATTTGGGTCTGTGCTCAGAATCTAGACGAAAGAGCTTAGTTGTCTCCTCCTCTTCACTCCATCCCTGTCTCCCCCTTCCTCCTCCTCCTAATGTCTATTTAATAATAATAATTAATAATTGAGTAGCTGTCTTAAGTTAGTATGGTTTAATAATAGTTGGAATATGAAAATTAGGTTCAAGTCTTTCAGTGACCTTGAAACTCAATGGATAGTTGTTTTAAATTTGTTGTATTTATATTTTGATGAAAGGTTTTCCAGGAAATGTACGAAGTAAAAAACAAATAAAGCCAATGAATTGGATTAAAAAGCATACTGTACAAGAATATGTAGAGAAATTATCAGAGCAGAATACAAAATGATTTAGTCCTGAAATAATAGCAAAATTGGCAGCAGGGTTTATTTTGCTATAATCTATTTAGTAAGGTGGTTCAGGCAGAAAAGTAAGACCATTGTGAAAGAAAGTGGTGTTAACTAATGTGGTGATATGTGCTTTTAGACATTTTGATAATCTTGCATTATTGAGTTTATCTGATTAAAAAAAAAACTGGCTAGTATTATCTTCTCTGCAAGTATCATAGCCAAAACCATGATTCATTTGTTCTAAGTTAAAAAAAAGTTAATTGAGACTGTTCTAAAACTGCATTTTGTGTTCTATTCATGCATTGTAGAGATTGTTTATCTAACCTTCTCTGCCTAAAATCCTACTAAGGCGATATGAGTAAACAGATTACTTTCTTCTGATGAAGTCAGCTTTCCTCCGTAATTAAAATATCAGTTGTAGAATAATTCCTACATTAAATCTTAACACTGACTTCTACTAAAAAGATGTGCATAATGCTGTTTTGTTTCCAGAAAGCTAAAGTATGATTATGCCACAATCCATTCCCATTTTTTCTGGCATTGGTAGTAATTAAAGGTAAGAGTTTATTCTAGTTACATCTTCAGTACAACTTACCTGATTTGAACATCCTTAGGTCTTCTGAGAAATCATATGCAAGTTGCTTAATTGCCACTGATATTCTTACAGTTTAAAAAAAGTGCAGAGAATTCAAATCCACCTGGGAATTAGATTGAAAAGATGGTTGAAGTAGTGTTTATATTCTACCCTTTGCCTTTCTTTAATAGCTTTTCCAGTACACTCATTTTAATGCATAGAGCAGGTGTGGGAAACGTGAGGATTTTTATCTGTAAATATCAATCTTAATGCCTGTCAAAACCTTCTAAATATAGATAGGAAATTGTTCTTCTTCCCTAGGCTACCATTCTTAGCAAACTTAACAACTGAGCATTTGTTTTACTGCACATTCTTTACAATTGTTAGCCAAGTTAAATCTATCCATAAATGCCTAATCAAGCATCTTCTAATTTTGCAATTTTTAAAACTTAGGTATCGGAGATATGCAGATAAGGCAATGAAGTTCTGTGTCCTAATAGAAAAGCCAAAGAAAATTATAGATTTATTGCTGTGGAAACTGTCTCTCAGTTTCAAGTCATGTCTGTTAATATCACAAGTGAACTATCATGGTAAAGAAGTATCAGGATAACTTCAAAGAGACATCTTGGTTTAAGGATGGAATTAAACAGATAAAAGGCTTAAATAAGCACATTCCCTTGAAAAAACACTTTGTTTTCCTGGACCAGTTATTAATATACAGTCATGTGAAAAAGAAGTACATCGTCTTTGATTTCTATAGTAACAAATCAATGTAATTTGATTTGTTTTTCTGTATTACAAGTATACATCTTGTTTCCCAGAGACACTCAGTATTTGTTTTTTGAAAATAATGCATAGTGAAGATGAGTCAGATTTGTGAAATACTTTACTGTTTTGTCTTTCCATACTTAACACTGTAGAAAAGTTTTCAGTTACTTTTTATCACAAGCCAATCCAATATATATTTGTATAGTTGTCATTTGCATGTAGACTTATATTGGAAATATTTTTCTGGTTGGTGGTCTGGGTGTTTGCTAAATAGATCTCACAATGATATTACAGGTTATTCTGCACATTGATGGCTTTTTATTAAAAAAACCTGAAATTACACCCATCTATTATGTCCATAAAAATAGAAATGTTACTTAATAAATTGTATATTAAAATATAATAAAATGTATTTGAAACTACTGAAAAAATAATTGTGGTTTTCTCATAAGAAATATATGTTATTTCTGTTTTTGAGAAAAGAAATAAAATAATATGCAGTGCCTTCTTCAATCAGAATATTTATTGTCATTTTATCAAATGACCAGAAATTTAGTAAATTCCTGAAAGCTTGCTTAAAATCTAAAGGAAGAACTTAAATAATCTGGGTACTTCTTGTAAATACCATACTGCAATCACTCTGTGATATTCAGCCTTGAAAGAATCACTCTTCCCAAAACTTCCTCTCAACTCACATTTGCCTGCAAGCTAGAACTGATAAGACCATAAAATAGACAAAATAATAGAAAACGAAGAAGCTAAAGTGCCCTGGGGTTTCAGAATACAAACATACCTGCCACATAACACCCTATACTTAACAATTGTCAGTAAGAAAGACAAAAAAGTCTGGATAGTGGACATAGCAGAATAAAAGAGAAAGAACTGGAGAAAATCACAAAATATTAAGAACTTCAAGTATAGGTAGAATAACTATGGCAAAAGAAAGCAAAGATAGCATCAATGGTAATAGGCAGCTTGAGTACAATCCCAAACATCTGGATCTCTACTTGTATACTATCAGAAGCTTGGAACAGCTTGCTTACATCCTGAAATGATACTTTTTAATACCATCAAACAAAATCTATATATCCCAGGTCATTGGGAGGGACTTGATAAGTGGACAAAAATGACCAATCCAGTCTAAACATCTGACTCATGCAAACAACAACAACAACAACAACAATATGAAACTATGTTAGCACTTCCAAGATTGATGGAATGTTACTTTTTCAGGATTTGCAGATTACTAAATATATAAAATATAGACATAACACACATTCACATGGAAAATTATATACAATAGTATATAAATCAAAATTTAAATGAGAATGTAATTTGTTGATGACTATATGAAACTATCTTCTACAGAAATTGAGGATCTAAATTCTGAACTGTTTTTCTGTTTAATCTGATTTTTCCCCATCAAAGTAGAATAGTTAGTCTGCCCTACTCAACTGTGCTTTATTTTGTTTTTAAATATAGTGCCACCTTATTATGTTTTATTTTTAATCACAGCAAAGGTGAGAGTTTTTAAAAGATTGAACTGTTCAACTTAAATCAATTCTTTATATATTCTAATTGTTTACTTATTTGCAAATCTTTAAACTTTTTCAGTGTATCAGGATTGAACATCTCAATACGTTGATCTTTTTTGCATGATAGGAAAGATTTGTGGTAAACATTATTGTTATTTCTCTTGTAAAAAAATAGAACTAAACCCACTGACAACTTTATGATAATTTTATTTGAAAATAACTTGAATGTTTACTGGTTCTGTAGGTGGATCTTCTCTGTGATTCTTTTCTGATTATACTTGGGATTTGGGAGGTATAATTAGCTAATGTGAAAAGATCTCTTAATCTTATCCAAGCGGTTGGAAGGCAGCATAGTCCATTTCTATTGGCGATGCCACTCTTAACCTCTTATCTATCCTTTTCTTTCTTTTATCTTTGTGATAATGGAGAATGCTGGTTATGTGAGAGATTCATAGAGAAATTGCCCTCCTCTTTCTTTTCCTTTGTTCCCTTTGACCATATTTAAGGGATGACAAAGCATATGATTTTGTTGGAACAGTTGTTGACCCAGCAAATTCATAGACAAGAAAAATATTCCTGTATTTTTTCTTCATTGCATACCTCTCTTTTGGAAATGTATTTGAAAGATGAAGCTGGGGCTCATAAGCAGATACTATATATCTGTAATTTACTAACCATGGAATGCCTAAAATTAAAACAAAGCAAATATTTCTAGAAATACTGTAATGCTTACCAGCCACAGATAGTAAGATAAAATTATTTACAGGACTGTGGTACTTGTTTAACTAATAGACATTTTAAAAAAAAACTAGTGTATCACAATCAAGTCAGGTTTTGAATGTAGAAATGTTTTAAGTTACTGAATAATTTAAGATAAAGGTTTAATGGTAAATTTTGGTATTTGGTATTTGGTATTTATTAATATTTGT